AGATTTAGTACAAGGGAAATATATATTCAAGTCTAGTTGTCCTCATTTATCTTGAGCACATGACATCATGTGCACCTTGAAATATTATAAAATCCCAAAAGTGCACTCTCCTACCTTTTCCCACAAGTGGTTGAGCTTCATATCTCTCTCTCTCTCTCTAGAACTTAAGGCTAAGATAGTTGTTTTATTCTATAGGCAGATTGTTTTCTTGTACTTCAGTTCTTTTCCTTCTAATATCCATTCATTGAAAATTAAATGAGCCCTTTCATAATAATAAACCCATTAAAGTTCAAAAGGGTGTAAACGTTTTATGATAAGAAGTAGACCTATTCATGGGCCGGGTACACCAATGGCCTGGCTCGGCCCAACTGTGGTCGGGCTTGGACATATTATTAGGCCCGTGGGCCCAGGCTCGGGCCGTATTATTTAAGCCCGACATAATTTCGGGCTAGGCTCGGGAATTTAACAAAAAGCATGGCCCAACATTAATTTAAATAATAAAAATATTAATAATATACATGTATTTATACTTTTTTTCTAACCCTAGCCATCTCTTTTTCATTCATAGTCAACACTCTTCAACTCTCTATTTTGTAATTTGCACAATGGCAGCCACCAACATCATCCACAGGTGGCAACCAGCAAGGCAACGACGACATCCTCCTCTGAGCTTTGAGTACCCAAAGCAGTCAACGTCACCACTCTCTCCTCTGCTTTTCTCTCTATTCCATCCCCTTCCACAACAGTGATCAACGACATCAAGAGGCAACAACCAGCGACTACTTACCATAGGGTTTCTCTCTCTCTCTCTCTCTCTCTCTCTCTCTCTTGCAATTCTCTCTATTCCATCCCCTTCCACAATAGTGATTGGCGACATCAAGAGGTAGTAACCAACGGCAACTCACCATTGGGTTCCCCCCTGTCTCTCTCATTCACCGACCCCATATTTGTTTAATGTTAATGGGTTTGCTTGCATCATATCCAATCGATGGTTAAAGTATATAAGCTCCGCCCATGGGGATTCTTTCCAACAAGTGTTTCTTTTTGTCTAATTTCTTATTAGAAATTTAGAATCAAAGCATGCAGTATGCTCAACAATACCAAATACAAAAAGGAAATTACAATATTTATTATAAAAAAAAGTACTATAGAAGAATTTTGCCCAAGTCATTTAGCTCATAAGGATTTGCCTTTTCATTGTCAATCACTACTCATTTTGGCTTTTTGTTTCAATTCTATCCAAACCAGAGGTTGTTTACTGTTAGCTATCTCCTTTTCTCATTTTTATGCAACAGGAAATATGATCGATAACTCTCTTAGGTCAAGATTCGGGCTTTTATGAGAACCGAGCTCGAGCTCAAGATCCAAGCCCAAAGGTCGGGTTAGGCTCGGGCTCGGGCCTAAATATATCATGTTGATAACAAATAAAAGCCTGGCCTGAGCCCGATCTAGCCCGACCTATGAACAGGTCTAATAACATAGACATATGTCCCTTGCCATTTGAATAGAACTCAATTACACTGGTGAAGTAAACCTGTAAAATATGTAGTAAGTACCTCCTTTTCCCTTCATCACCGACACCGACTTGACAAGCTCCTCTCACCAACATTCTTTAGGGAAAACATGAGCTCATGAACTCTGGACCAGGTTTGTCATTTTTTCACTCTTCCTCTCAAAATTGATCTATTTTTCTCCTAAATTGTCTTTGCAATCTAGCTATTTTCTTTTCTCCAAAGTTGTCGCATTGATCTTAACTTGTGATGCATATTATTGTTAAAGAGATTTATTGTAATTTATCTTTTTCTCTGAGAATAGTCTCGTAGATAAGAAGTTTCATCGATCACATCAGTTTCGAATGTGGCTAGAGCCAATCAACTTCAACCTAATTACAACCTTAAAGATATAGTCAATTTTTTTTTTTTTGTACATTTTTCTTGCTTAGATTGAATATGGACTAGTTCAATAGTTTATTCTTTTTAATAGACATATCCACGAATCCTTTTATGGAGTATTTCATTAATATAAAATCAAATTTGGAAGTAAGTAACTAATAAGACCAACTATAACATAGATTTGTAGTAATTGATTCATCATCAATTCGAGTTCCAAAACAACCAGCAACAAACCAGAACCAGAATTCTCCCAACACTTGCAACAAAACAAAAATCAACCAACACCAGAAATTCTTACAGAAAGCATTGCATTGACGACATGACAAAGTTCCTTCCTCCCTGAAGAAAAAGAGTTGCTGGTAGATGCAGTGTGGCCCAAAAACCTACCAACACCCAAAACAAGTTGAAAACAGGAAAAAAATCCTTCAAACTTTCAACTGTTTGGTGGAATGATACGAACATCCATGACCAAACCTTCTGCCTTTCCAGCAGAATCGAGCTCAAAGATGCATTTGTCTCCTTTCTTTAATTTGTTTTTAGACAAAAAATTGAACCAACCATGTCCAATAAACAGGCGAGTATAGCCATACTCCTCACGATTGCGTAGTTCCACTGGCCATGACTGTCCCTTACAATCTCTTAGGTTCATGCTGCACCTGCCATATAAGTTATGTGCCATGGCAAATTGTTTTGGAATGACCTGCATCCAATACAAGCTTTTCATTCCACATTGTTATTATAATAATGTAAAGACCCGTTCACGGGTCGGGCTTTGGGCTTGGCTTTATACCGTTTCCGGTTCAGGCTTTTAACCAGGCCCATTTGCATTTTGACATAAGCCCAGCCCGAGCCCGAGCCCAGCCCATGAAACAGGATGAAGGAGTAATGATGCCACTCCACTCCTAAATTGAGGAGCTGATCTGCTTTAGCCAACTTATGTTTATATTTTAGGCCCATCTGGGACGAATCAGCATTGATTGAGCTGATTTCAGTAAGCTGTTTTGAAGAACCTACTAAAAATAATCTCACTGGAAAAGTGGAAAGCTACTTTTTTTTTTGGCTGAATGGCAGTTTATTTGAGCTTTTCACGTTTTTCAGCAAATATAGCTTTTAGGCTTTCCGTGTGGGAACCACCTTGCAAAGCCAAAAGCTGCTGGCTGCTGCATATATAAAAGCCCTCCCAAAATGTTAGCTTAGTTACAGCATTTGTATGTTCAGACAGTATATCTAAACTCAGAATGTAGTTGGAGTGAACATTAGGTTAATTTGGTTAAAAACTAAACCAACTAATCTAAAGCTTTAGAAACTGAATTTCTAATTGGCAAAATTGAACCGAGACTGGATTTAGCTAAAGCCAAAATAACTAAACCAAAATTTTTGGTTAAAACCAAACTTTGTTATACACACACAAACACACCAGATAAATTACTTAGATTCCGAAAAGACCCCCTTTCCATGAAGTTGAGTGATGGAAGAAGTTAATCTATCAAAATACCCCATTCAAGAAACTTTTATAAAATGGCAATTGCAACAACAAAAATACAAAAAAAAAACAAGAAACTTCTATGAAAACCTCGAATTGCAACAAAGATAACATGTAATTAATATAAATTACACTGTAAAAATGGAAATAAAAGCATAGTTTTTAAAAACGAACCAGTTAGGGGTCTGGTTATCAGTTTGAACAGTCCAATCATTCAACTCGAACGGCTGGCCCATTCTGACAAAAAAATAAAAATATTGGAAAATGGTCAAAACCGTTCAAACAATTAACTGAAATCAACGATTTGGGGGGGAAGCAGGTTTGGGGGAAAACGGAACCAATCAGGTGACCGATTCTCAGTTTTTCCAATCTAACCGTCCGGTCCGATCCAGCTTTGAAAACCATGAATAAAAGAATGCTAAAAAATCATTGAAAACAAGGGTAGATTGGAGATTTAAAAAAGCTTAGATAGTCACATGAAAATCTTTTTCAAAATTAACTGATGGAGAGGGTCTTTGTTGTAATCTGAAAGTTCAAGGAAGTAATTAATGCCACCCCAAAGTAGAGCACCAATCTGTAATTTATATAATATAAATATTATAATGAAATTCAGTTACTTCGGTTTTTTTCGTCAATCAAAGTTCTAATTCTGAAAACTGAAACCAAAACCCATTTTAGCAAAAACTGAAATAAATATTTAACTGAATAAGCCAAACTGAGTTTTATTTTTTATTCATGCGATTACACAACCATGGTAACCCATCCCCATCCCCATCCCGTTAACAGCACCCCCCCAAACTTGCAGTGAGATTTAATAATTTTAAGGGAGAATGATGGTTCAGTCCAGGATCAGAATTTTTAAGTCCGAAGTATAATTGGGGTAGGCGGCAATTCAGAATTAATGCCAATTTAGAAGCAGGCATTAATGTATAGAATAGGAATTTCTGACATTTTGAATGTTTATAGATCTGCAGTAAAATTCAGAAATCTGCATTAGGCATGTCTGTATTTTTCAGTAATTTGAATCCCTCTCTACTACAACATGTCAAAGATCCTACCGAGCTGCCATCAGGTGGCTCATTCTAAATTGTAGTGGTATATTATCTCTTGCATAGCTAATACTTGACATGTTGGACCATCTCAGTGTAACCAAGAACATCTATATCTAATATGGATATCGGTATCATATGGGAAAATCTACCATGGCGGAAAGATATGATACATAAGTGCTTTAACCAATCAAAACCCACCCTTAAATTTTATAAATGAGATCTGATTAGTTAACGGGTTTATGATACGGGGTTGATTGGTTACAAGCTTTTTTTAGGTATCATTTCTTTGATATAGATATAGTTATGATACGGGTTTATCTTAACTAAGGCTCAGTTTGGAAGGAGTATAAGAGTATAAAACCTTGTATTTTATATTATTTTGTATCAATTTATACTGATGCTAAGGTTTTATATAGAATCTACGCACAAAAAAGGACTACAGAGGAAATGAGAAATCACCAGGTACTCAGAAATAATATTTGTTGCGTTAATGGTGGTGTTGAAAAAGGGGCGTTGCCTTCTTTCTAGTTTTTCTTCTTCTTCTTCAAGTGGCCTTTTTCCTATATAAATAGTTCATAAGCCTATCAGTCAGTAAATACCAACCACGCAGAAAACCACATGAAATCAAGAACTATATTATAGAACCAAAAAAAAAAAAAAAACAAAAATCAAAGAATCAAGAGAGAACTCACTTGTACCATTAGAATTTGAGTGATTAGGGTGAATGATTTCTTCTTGTCGTTTCATTGTTTCTTCCTGCTTGCGCTCTTCTCCAATAAAAGCAGGATGATATTCCTTTTGACATGCGCTTGGATCAAATATCATGACATCGAAAACTAGGCGACCGTGATGCTGAAAAACCAGAAGATCTCCGACGTGAAGTTTGTGTTCCTTCACAAAATCCTCCCAACCCTTCTCAAAATACATGTCTTCGCTGCTTCTCCCACTCCCTCTGACCTTCACATCCCATGAACCCTTGCAACTATTCAGTCTTGCCTCGTCTATCCAACTCTCTCCGGCGAGGTGCCTATTGAAAGCCGGCGGTATCTCCTACATAGCAGACGCATGCAGCAGCTTAATCAATTATATGTGACATTCCGAGTTTTATATGCTGAGATGCGTGTGAGAGAGGAGGAAAGAGGAAGATGACTTACGAGTTTTATGGAGGACGACGGTGAGAAGACCGTGTAGAAGCAACGCTTGTGTGGGGGAGCCAGTTTTAGCATTTTCAGGTTCTGTGGATTACCAGAAGGCATGGCTGGACCATGTAGAGCAGCAGCTTGATCAGTTCGGTGGACGCTCCGATTATCACCGCATCGTGGGTTGCGACTTGCGAGGAATCAACGCTGCATACCTCTCGACTCTTCGAATCCTGTCGATGTCCAGCGTGCATCTCTGCAAGTCTGGAACTTCTGCAATTGGATGTAAATTACAGCATTAATTCTCGCCGACCGACCGTTGCTTCTTTCTCGGTAAAGAGAAGAGAGACATAGGGTCAGGTCTTGTTCATAGGGGTGCAACTTGGGCAGGCCCAACCCGAACTCGACAGACGGGCTGGGCTTGGATTTTCGGTCTTCGGGTTGGGTTCAGACAGAAGAATTCGGGTTTCTTTTTTATTTTTTGAGTTGGGCCCGGGCCTGGTCTTTGAGAAGGGTAAAATGGCTTATTGCATTTGGACAATAAGTTGATTGTGTACCAGATATTGCTCGGAAAAGGAGGTTATCCAAATCCAACGAAATAGGATCGGATTCTGAATAGAATCATGGGTTTGATGAGATTGGTTGAGAACCTCGGGTTGATTTGGAGTTGAGGTCTTAACATATAGGGCTAGGATGTTCTGATTTCAACCTGGGTTAATCTGGTCGGAGTTTAGTCCCTAAATAGAATACAGTCAATAAGTAGTTCCAAGATGTGTTTGGAATAAGGTTAGATCATTTCTGACCGGCCCCAATTACCCAGCCCAACCAGACTTGGAAATTTTGGGGATCGAGCAGCAATTTTTCTTCCAAGTCCACTCCGCATCAAGTCCCACATTATGCGGGCCAGGCCTGAGCCCTAAAATCCTAGGTCCAGACAGTCTGGTCCGATCAGAAAATTTTATGTGTGTATTTGTGTCGTATAAATAATTATTATGGCATATTTATTATTTATTATTATGCTAATGTATGTACAATAAATTATTATATATATTAGTGGGGACCCGTGTGTACGGGATTTATTAAGTGAAAGTTAAATAATAGAAAGGGTCATTTACTAAAATACCTCTTATAATTTCATGGATTTACTAAAATCTACCCGATAGCTAACATTTTAATAAAACACCACTTATAATTTGCAATAGATTTAATCAATCTTCCATTAGATGACAGTGGAAAATGACAGTGTTGACCCTAATGTTCATTTAAATAAATTTAATCAAAAGAAAATAAAAACAAAAATACTATTTTTGCCCTTAATAAGACACATGCAACCACTCTATTGGCTATATTTGGTCAATTTTGTTTTCTACACAAAAAAGTGTTAAGGGTATTTTTGGAATAAAAAATCATGGGTCTAATGGCAAAAAAAAAAACACCCATTAATGAAATTTTGTTAAGTAAATAAGTTGGAATGGCAACGGGAATGGTTTAAGTAAATATGTAAAGCTATAAGATGTGTAGGAATGGCAACGGGGCGGGGATCATATTCCCGTCCCTAACCCCGATTCTTAAATTAACCCCCACCCCCGATCCCCAACGGGGATGGGTTCCTCGTGGAGACCCAAATCCCCAAAATAATTTTCAGATAATGGTATCATTTTTTAAAATAAATAAAAAATTTAAATTATAAATAATGTTTTAAATATGTTTTGATATATATATATATATATAATATAAATAATATAATAGTATATTTAATATATATAATCGGGGTCGGGGTTGGGACCGGGGAGGAGACCTCAATCCCCATCCCTGACCCGGATTGGGGATTCCTATTAATCCCCAGCCCCAGCCCCATCCGGCCGAGGAAGTCGAGTCCCCATCGGGGATGGGGAAAATTGTCATCCCTAAAGGTGTATTCTAGTAAATGTCCCTAATAGAAGCACATAAGAGTACAAAATTATTTTATATTTTCAACTTTTTAAATAATTAATAATTATTCATATTTTATATACTACTTTTAATAATTTTTTTATAATACAAAAATAACAATAATTAATTTCATTTAGGTTTATTCATCAAACTAATGAAATTGACCAACCAGATCAACTCGACTTGAGTTGGTCAGCTTTTTAGTATTTTAGGTCGGCTTTGGTTAAAAAATTTCCCAAATCGACCAAGTTGGATCAGTTTTGGTCATTTGTAAACAACCAAAATCGAACGACCTAACCATGGATATATATTAATATTTTATATTTTAAATATAATTTTTAAAATGGAAAAGTGGGAAATTTCCCATACTTCTTAGTCTAAAATGCTTTATATCATAAATCTAATTTTTAAATATATTTTTTAATAATTGCACTATATTTTTAAAATTAAATTTAATTTTTAAGTAGAAATCTTTCGAACCAATTGACCAACAAATCGATCCAAACAGATACAACTTGAGTGGGTTGGATTTCACAAAAGGTCAATCGGTTTCAGTTGACCAACTCCCAACCTAACCAAGTCAATCTGATTGGCCAAATAGCCTACGGCTGAACCGAACCAACTCACRAACACTCATAATTTCAGCTAAATTAATAGTGTCATCTCTGATAAATAAAATAGTTTAATCTCCAATAATTATTGAAAACTTATAGCGAAAATACACAATTATTTAAGATATATTGATAATGAAAAATACAATAATTACAAAAATACAATAAGTACTAAAAATATATTAACTTAGTCAATAAATAGTATAATCTCAAATAATAGTTTAATCTCTAATAAAAATTAATCAATAAGTTATAACAAAAATATAATAAATACAATAAATTAAATTTAAAAATTTCAATAATAGTAGTTTAATCTCCAATAATTACTAAAATTTTTTTGTTAAATAACAAAACAAAAYAAATTTATACATAATCATTGAAAATACATTTATCACAAAAAACAATAAATAATTATTGAAATACAATAAATATTAATTTTACTATATATATAATTATATAAATATAAATTAAGAGTTTAAAATTATTATAAATAAATATTATTTTTTGAAAGCTATTTTCTTGAATTATTACTTGAAATAATTGAAATTAGTTATTTACAATATTATGTAAAAATATTAAATTAAATGATGAGGGCGGATTTGGCCCTCCAATGATATTGTGACACATGGCACATCGGAACAACTAGGTGACACCCAGAACCACTTAGGCAACAACTTGCCTTTGCCAAAGTTGATGGTGTCCCACCTGACGGCCAGGCCCAGGCGCTGACCTAGCGGCCTGGCACGGGTGCCGACCTGGCGGCCTGGCCCAGGCGCGACCTAGCGACCTGGCCCAGGCGCCGAACTGGTGGCCTGGCCCAGGCGTGACCTAGCGGCCTAGCCCAGTCGCCGAACTGGCGGCCTGGCCCAGGCACCGACTTGGCGGCCTGGCACAAGCACCAACCTGGCGACCTGTGAGATGTGCTCGCTGACAAATTTGGCATGCATATTCTAACACTCACACGATCCTTGGAAGTTGGCCCATGTGCCGAACAATCCAGAGGGTGGTCAACATGCATGGCGGTTGCCTCAGGGAATCTCGGACCACTTAGACGACTTTTTGGAAATCTCAGATGCGGTGCGTGAAGCCCACGCCAAACAATGCCTATATAAATGCAGCAACTCCAATGGCATAGGGGGGCAAGGGCAAGCAAGCATATTCTAGCTCTCATACTTTGTGATTTTTAGCTCGTAGTCTACTATGAGAGTACTGATTTAAGCATCGGAGCGACCTCGCCGGGTTAGCCACCCCGGGTCCTCTGACATTGATTCCTTGCAAGTCCCTAAAGAACTATGAAGCTCAACAATCAATCCAGCTCGCCACCAGGCAGCTCAGCCCTTTGGTTAGCTCGACAACTAATAGGCAGCTCGGCCCAGTCAGTTCGACACCTAACCTACTCAGCTCGGACCAGTTCGACACCTAACTTGCCTAGCTCGGCTCAGTCAACTCGACACCCAATCTGCCCCCAGTTCGGCCTGGTCAGCTCGGCATCCAAGTCCTCATCCAGCAACAATTCTCCACTTCAGCCTCTGAGTCATCGACTACTTGGAAGCAGACTAAATGATGAGGTACTTAGCCAAAAAATTGATACATGACCAAAATTGATTCATCAATTATTAATTTCAATATTATGTTATAATTAATTTTCTAATTTTCAAGATTATTTTTTATTTTATTACATAATTTCTTTATTTTAACTATTTAAAATCTAGTTATGTTAAATATTTTGTTATTTAAAATATTTATTTAGTTAAATACTTAAATAATATGTAAAATATTTAAATTTTAAAATATGAATTATTTATTGAATTTAATTATCCATAAAATCATAATTTATACTATTATTACATAATTTCATTATTAATTTTGTAATATATTAAATTATTATGAATTTCAATATTATGTTATAAATATTTTTCTACTTTGAAGAAATTTTTTAAACTTATTACGTAATTTCATTATTTTCACTATTTAAAATCTAGTTATGATAAATATTTAGTTGTTTAGATATTTAAATCATCTATAAAATATTTAAGATCTTTTGTTATTTTAATTTTATTTATTTAAAGCTATAAATATTTAGTTATTTAAATATTTAAATAACCTATAAAATATTTAAGATCTTTTGTTATTCGAATTTTATTTATTTAAAGATATTACATATTATTAAATATTTAAAAACATTTAAATTGATAGTCCGAAAAAAATATAATTTAAATTGTTAGTACATATTTTCGTGAAATATTTTGTAAAAATATAAAATTATTTTTTGTGTTTTTAATAAATATTTTAAAGTTATTATATAATTATGTTAGAATATTTAAATAAATTTTAAAATATTTTAATCTAAAATTTCTTTATATATAGATAGATAGATAGATAGATAGATAGATAGATAAAAAGTAGGGGAGAAGATAAATAGGAATTATAGATAATTTATAAGATAAATAGGAATTAGAGAAAATTTTGGAGAAAGTAGGGGATAGTGGGGAAGGCACTTTAGGAAAAAATTTAAGAGAAGAGGTTATTTAGGTTATTGGGAAAATGCATCTCATTGGTTGTCTTGAAAATGACATGGAATAAAAAAATAAAAAATGAGAAAATTTCTTGACCGCTTTGTTTTAATATATATATATATATATATATAGAGAGAGAGAGA